TTAAATGCAGGCATTAGAGTCCCACCGACCTTGGCTGTCATCCTGGTTCTGCCTCTGCTTTGTGACCTTAGGTCGGTTAGCTCCAAAGAAAGAGAAAGAAATGAGGTGATGCCTTTAACATCACAGCTGCTCTTTGACACACCAGTGCTTTTCTGGCCCACCTGGTTTTGATCTCCTCTGCCCAGATACCTGCTTTCCTTAAGTCAGTTCTTGTCAACGAACATTTGTAGATTGTCTTCTATGCCAAGAATACACTGAGCTCAGCTGCAGAGAGGAATAAGAAACAAGAACCACCCCAGATTTGCTTTCTTGTGCTGGCATTGGGACTAAACAGACTGGGTCTTTTACTTCAGACAAGTCACTTTACCTGTCTAGGGCTCTGTTCCCCAGTGCGTGCCGTGGGGGGTCCTTACTGCACCCTACAGCGGTAAGGGTGATGATCCCTGCTGTACCCATCTCAGAAAGTTGTTTGGAGGATTAAAGAAAAGAGTAGGCATAGAGGTTAGCTTGAAAGTCTTATGTAAATCTCAGGTTCTTTTATTCACTAACTGAAAAGGGAAGATGGACTTGTGTCAGATTTCTTTGTTTAGCAGTGAGGACTCTGGGGTCAGGATCTCCTTCATGTACCAAACTCTTCCTGTGTACCCACTCACCCACACTACATAACTTCAGCCCTGCCATGTGGAGCTAACATCCAGCCTCTCACCTGCACTGTATTTTCTGTGAGTCCTGCCCAGCAGGGATGTTGACCTTTGCAAGGGTCTCTAAGCCAAACTTTAAAATCAGCTCCTGTTTCCTACTCTTCTGTGTTAAATGGACTTCGTTTGAATAGCTTATTGTTTGCAGCACATGTTCAGAAGATGGCTGTCTCAGATTCAGGGCAGGAATGCAAATGATAAGAAGTCATAGCAACTTTTTATCTAAAAGACCTCACTGTGTGCCAGGTACTCTTCTCAGCTCTTTGTGTGTGTTATATCATTTGATCCTCACAACAGCACTCCTCGTAAGGACAGTTGAGGTTTTCACAGATGAGGAATCTGAGGCTGAAGTAAGACAGCTTGCCCTCAGTAACACAGTTAGTCATTGGTGGAGTCGGGACTCAAGCCTTGCTCGGTGCATGCTCTAGGTAGCCAATAGTTCTATCTCACTCCCACCCAGGCCAGCAGCTATTCTCATTCTTTCTCCTTCAGTACGGGCCAGGACATCCCTGTCTATTCCAGGAGCTGGTCAAGGGCCAGCTTTCCCAGGGCAAGTAGCATGTGTTTTAAGAGAAAACCTTATCCAGTTCCTATGACAGATTAATGACGAGTGACCAAGGAAAAGGTGTTTCAGGCTGATTTTTTTTTTTTTTCTACTTCTACCAAAATATCCAACTGGCATGTTCCAAGTGTCCACCTTGTCTCTAATTCAGGGTTTCTTAACCTGGGACTATGGATGGGCCTCAGGGAGCCCATGAGCCCTCTGAAATGGTATGTAGAATGTTTTATTGCTGGGAGCGAGATGGGGGTGGAGTTAGCATCTGTGCTTTTTAGTGGGAACCTTGGCTCCCAGGGGATATTCAAAGTGATACTGTCTCAAACAGTGTTAAGAATCTTGTACTAATTGAGATGAGGTATACAGTTGGTTTTACCTAAATTTCAGACTAAGCCTTAGCCCAGGAAATGATTAGAATTTTTTCCTCCTTGAAAGTACATTTAAACAGATTTCAAATGTAACCACCTTGGAGGGCAAATGTGTGAAACTGTGGCTTCCACAGCCTTCTGATGGGAGTCAGCCAGCAGTGGGTGTGATTGGAGCTCAGAGGCTTATTCCATCACTTCTGTTTTTCTTGAATTCACTTACAATTGCAGTGGTAGAAGTAAGAGACAGACAAAATGAACCTTGGTCTTTTAAGGGCGGGGGCTATGTCTCTTCATTAAGTATTTTCATGCTTCCTGTGTGCCAGGCATTAGGAGTTTCACAGTGCACAAAGAGTTCCTGCCCTTGTGGAGTTTGCATATCCTGATCTGTGTACATTTTTGTATCATTAATGCCTAGCAAAGAACACTGCACATAGTGGGACTCAACTACTGAATAAATAAATGCCCCTTCTTGCATCCTTATTAGATTAAAAAAAAGGAAGGCCTTTGGCCTTGATTTGTTCAGCAGCTGACTGTTAAGTTCTGATTATGTTCCAGGCATTGAGCTGGGCACTAGAGATATGCTAGTAAGCAGAACAGATGTGGCCTCTTTCCTAGTGGGAAGACAGACAGTCAAGTAAGCACATAAATAAATAATCATGGACTTGGACAGGTACCATGGAGGATTTGGCTTTAAGCTATAAAAATATGTAACGAAAGACAGCCTGATGGGGGACGAGGGTGTCAGGAAGGGTTCACTAAAGAAGAGATCTAGAGCTCTGATCTCAAAGGTGAACAGGAGTGATCCAGACACAGGGCTGCACAGGCCGAGGGACCAGGCTTGAAGCGTCCGTTGGCTTTGGTTGCCATTTCCATTTAGAAGACAGGTTGATGCTAAGGGCTGGGCTGAGGGGCCCTCTCGCATTCATTTTGCAAGCATTCCTGGGCACTCTGTCTGTGCCTGGGCAGGGACAGCAGCGAGTGAGCCCAAGCTCTGACCTGGAGAAGGCGCTGATGATGGGGTACGCAGGCTGAGAGGCACTGGTCTCTCCTGGGTGCAGCCTCATAAGGACACTTCAGTTGCTGCTTTTCCTACTGACACTTCTCCTTCCTCACTTAGTTATCAGGCATCAGTCTTTCTCAATGGGTCTCTGTCTCAGAGGCAGCTTGAGCCAGTTGACTATACAGCCACCCACTCTGGAAGTCAGGGTCAGCTATGAACCCACTGTGAGTAGTGTTGTGTTTATTTTTTTGTTTGTGATGGGGTTGGGGTTAAGGCATTTAAGGGAAAGAGGGAGGAAGAGAGAGACCGAGAAATGAGGCTAAAAATTAGGAAAGCAGTAAGAGCTCCAGAGCAGCACAGTCCATGGAGAGAATGCCAGAGCTCTGTCTCAGAGGAGCCCAACTTAGGAGCATTGTTTTTAAACAGCAGTCACATTGTTAACTCAGTTGTAAATGTAATTTGTCCTCAGTGCAGAAAATGTGGAAAACCTAGTAAGCACACAGAGAAATGCCCATGTCCTGTCACAGAAACGTAAGAGCCAGGTGAGATAGTGCGTGTATAGGGTCTGGCACTCATTACACACCAGCTTCTGTTAAAATGCTGAGGGGAACCCACCCTTTTACTCTAAGAATGAGACATTTATATCATAAGGGATAATGAGATGAAGAAGACATTATTTTGTAACTAGCCAAATGTATGGTTATGGGGAAAATGTTCATTGTTTGTTACCACAGCATGAGAATGAAAAGTCGAAGGATCCTGAAGACCCGTGAGAATGTTTTGTAGGGTTTGGCGGCAGTTTTATGTTTTACAAACCACTGGAGGAGCCTTGTATCTCTGCCTGCCCTTGTCATTCACACAGACTGACAGCAGAGAGTGGGAGGAAGTGTTGGCCGCCCACAAGCCTCAGTTTTCTGTTCCTCTACTATTGATTTGTTCAGATTGTTTATGAATTTACTGGTCACACAGATGTTTTATTTAGGTGCTTTCTTTGTGAATCAGTTACGTGCATAATTAACATTTGCCCCAGCATTAGCCTTAAACCACAGAAGATCTAGGCTTAGGGATGCCACTTGCCAGCTTGCAGCCTAACCCCAGTGGTGTTTAGTGGACATCTTTATATAGTGCTGGTAGGTTCCTGGCTGCCTCCCTTTGGGCAGGAGCCAAACTCCAAGAGTAATTTCTGACTGGGGCATACCTGTAAACAGCCGACTGGGGCAGGTGTCCTCAGAACCAGTGTAAAGGAACACCAGGCACCTTGAGTGAGACAGAAAGGGAAGAATGAGCAGGGACTAGGAGATGCTGACCTGAGCCTGCTGCAAGCTTGGGCCTGTCCTGTCCCCGTTCTGCGCCTCAGTTTTTTCATCTGTAAAATAAGGAAGTTGGACTAGTCTAGCCCTGAGATGCCTAATTAGCCTGGAAAGTGTTAGTCGCTCAGCCATGTTCAGGGCTTTTGCAACTCCATGGACTGTAACCTGCCAGGCTCCTCTGTCCATGAAATTCTCCAGGCAAGAATACTAGAATGGGTGGCCATTTCCTTCTCCGGGGGATCTTTCCAACCCAAGGATTGAACCCTGGTCTCCTGCATTGCAGGTGGATTCTTTGCCATCTGAACCACCAGGGAGGCCCAATTAACCTGAAACTGGGGGCTAAAAGTTAGGTGTGTGAGTCAGCAGTGTAGCAGTTTGCAGTGATTGGTAAGAAAAAGCTTGAGAGAAAAAGGACAGTAGTTTAATGAAATGGAAGAGCATCTAAGTAGAATGCTCAGCAGAACTGTGTGTTTAAGAGCAGAGAGAAGTATGCCTGTTTGAAGGCAGCACAGAAGGTGCTAGTGGAAAGGAAAGTGATAGAAGGTAGATTAGTGAAGTGGCTACAGCTTGAACTTCGAATGGCGTCTAACGGCCTGGCGCAAATTCTGGATCTGCCAGTCCCTAACTGAGTGGTTGTGGTCAAGTTACAGAACTTCTTACTTCTCATTCTCAGTTAAGTTGCCTATAAATTGAGGCTATTACCACCACACTTTGTGGAGAGGTCGTGAGGTCACAGAATGAAAGACCCGTAGCATTGCTTATGTGCTGAAGAAAACAGTGGAGGAGGAGGGAGAGGACGAATGATCAGACCTAGAACTCAGATAGGAGGGATCATCTGTTGGATGTTCATTCTGAAACCCTTGGGAAAATCTTCAGGAACCAATTATCCCCCCACAAACCCCTAAATTTGAGTACAAAGTTTAGGTTCTGGGCTTATATGCAGGAAATACCACTTTCGTGGTTAACTTGGGATGCCCAGGTCAGTAGAGATCTTGGTCTTCAGTGCAAGCCCTGAAGCACCCACCTCTTCCTGATGCTTTTTAATTTGTGCTGTGCTTTATCCTACAGATTAGTCAGAAGAAGTTGAAAAAATATGAAAAAGAATATCACACCATGAGGGAACAGCAGGCCCAACAAGAAGACCCCATTGAGCGATTTGAGGTTTGTTTATGGCCTAAGTGATGTGAAGTGCCTTCAGCCTTTCACTTCAGATAATTGTGCCTATAATTAGCTTTAGTGAGTTCTTTTTAAAACTTAGTTTCACTATTTCTAGGTTTCAGTTTGAGTTTGCAAATGAGAAAGCAAGACTTGTTTCGTTTCATGCTAGTTGTCTAGTTTGTTACAGTTCCCTGGGCTTTTGTTACAGTTAGAAAGGAGTAACTGCTTGATGGTTAATTGAATCAATGGAGACAGAAAGGAAGGAACTGTTGATTGGCGGCACATTGGGACCAGCCACATCTCCCCTGATTCCTGTAGGTCTCAGCAATTAGTTTTGAGGGTTAACCTGAGAAGTTGTCATTTCCATCTGATCTTTATGTCTGCAACTGGTTTCTCTCTACCCATCAGCGAGAGAATAGGCGCCTACAAGAAGCTAACATGAGGTTGGAACAGGAAAATGACGACTTAGCCCATGAGCTCGTGACCAGCAAGATCGCACTGCGAAAAGACCTGGATAACGTAAGTCTCCCTTGTCTGAAAAGATGCTTGTGTTGAGACACTTCTCCCTTAATCAGGTGAAAATCCTGAAGTTTTCGTGTTTGTTCTAGTTAGTGTTTCCCTCTTATGAGGTGCCTACTCTTGTTCCTTCCTTTTCTTCAGGGGTCATCGATGATCTCATTAAGCCCTCCTTTCTACACTCTTCTCTCATTATACATGCAGTCCCTGAACACCTCTCCAGACATTGATTGAAAGACCTCTTCGGCTGATTCTTATGTTATTACAGTTGTCAGTAGCATTTAATCACTGTAATTTCCTTAACTTACCCCTAAGACAAAACAGAGTTTATCTCCTGCATACCATGTGCCTTTTGCCTAATCATTGCCAACTGTAATAAAGCCCAGTGCCTCCACAGCTTGTGACTTCATCAGGAATCTCTGCTGGCAGATGTTCTGTTTTTCTTTGCTTCTCCTGATCTTAAAAAGTTTGAGCTGATGGCATTCCTGGCAGGGTGTTGTCCACTTTCTATACTAGGCTTCCCATAGTGCAGTCTCTCATTCGTGGTTGAGGTCAGACGTTGGCAGACTTTTTCTGTAAAAGGACAGATGTGACTTGGTGGGCCATATGGTCTTTGTTGCAGTTATGTAACTCTGCCATTGTCACGGAAGGGAGCCACAGACAGTAAACAAACAGATGAGCATGGCGGTGTTCCAGTAAAACTTTATTTAGGAGAATAGGTGGCAGGCTGGATTTGACACTTGGACAAAGTTTGGCAGCACCTGACTTAGATTTTCCTGTCACTTTTCTGCTCATTGATTTTTCTAGAGACAGGCTTAGGTTGTTGAGGGTTTACAAGGAACTTACATAATATGTTGAACCCCATAGGATATATGAACTTCACAAGGTCTTGACATCCACCAAACATGTATGAAAATCCTGTGTGCTACTGCATTTCTTCAGCAGTCTATGCTTTCATTAGATTCTCTAAGTGCTTCACCCATCAGATGAAGAGAAAGAGATGGTGGTATCTACTGGTTCATATTACTTCTCTTTGGAAATAGAATATGGAGTGAAATTTTGAATGGATCTGAATCTTAACATCAGCTGCTCTCCTTTCTAGTAAAGGGGAGGTGGAGTAATGACTGTTTCCCAGGGTACAGTGGGAATTACACAGTGTTGTTCCCTCTGCTTGTCTGATAGTCAGCTATAAATAGCTGCAGGTAACTGGTTACACTCCTTTTTCTAGTTTATCCAGGGAGGGTGTTGCAAGGTCATTAGCTCCCAGTAACCAGAACCTGGCGATCTTGCTGCTTTTTGGTTTGCCCCAGTATGCTCCTGAGGTTGGCATCCCGTCCTGTGGTGTGGGTTGCCAGCTTCTGTTCTTTGTGAGTCACTCCCTCACTATTTGGGCGTTTTCTGCCAAGGGAGCGGAGGGGAGGTGGGTGTCCATTGAGCTGTCCATTGAGTTGCTGAAGCAGAAGTCACAGTGGACACTTGTGATGGCTCCTATAGCCACTGTAGGTCATGCAGAAAGGAGGTGAAAAAGAAAAGGAAGTGGGTCCTGAACCAGAGCTTTGTGTTCTACAGTGAAGTTAGAGGCAACTTAAGGTAAAATTTCAGGTTGGTTTTTAGTTTGCGCTGTTGCATCTGCCATTCTGATGGGCCCAGAAGTAACATTGATGTTCCACTAGTTTAGAGCACATCAGACTTCTTAGGTTCTTGAAGCCTGCCTCTAAAGAGGCTTTATTTAAGTTGTTTTCACCTGACTTAGTAGTCAAAGAACTGGGCTCAGAAGTGAGAAATAGTAAAAAAAAAAAAAGATGAATTCCCATTTATTCTGTGATGCTCTGTGTAACAGGCCCTATGATAAGCACTTTGCTAAACTGATATCTCTTATCCTTTCCTCAGCCTGGTAACATGAGCCCCATTTATGGATCAGGATTTATATTTTTTTGGCTGTGCTGGGTCTTCATTGCAGTGTACAGGCTTTCTCTAGTTGTGGCGTGCAGGCTGCTTTTGTGGAACGTGGGCTCTAGAGCACATAGGCTTCAGTAGTTGTGGCATGTGGGCTTAGTTGCCCCAGGGCATGTGGGACCTTCCCAGACCAGGGATTGAACCCTTGTCCCCTGCATTGGCAGGTGGATTCTTAACCACTGGATCACTAGGGAAGTCCCTGAGGATTTTTTTTTTTTAAAGAGTCATGAAACTTGAGACTCAGAGAGAGTAAGGCACCCAGGAAGAAGCAGAGCCAGGAATATAACCCAAGTGCATCTGATTGGGATGCCCAGGCTTTATCTGTGATGCCACACTGCCTCCAAAGTAAATATGAAACAAGAAGTTGTTGTTTGATGTCATAACTACACCAAAAGTATACTGACATCTTTCAGAACGTTTCCTAAACCCTTAAGGAGCTCTAGGTGCTGCACAGTGCTTTGTACTTAATGTTAAACCCTTCAGGCAACCCTGTGCAAGGGATACAGTTTCACTGAGGAGGCCAGAAGAGGCTAAATGTCTTACATAGTCCCACTGTTAATGAGTGGCAGAGCCCTTAGATTGAAACCCAGCTGGCCTGACACTCCTGGCTCAGAGGAGCAGGACCCCTGCTGCCTCTCGGGCTCAGAAATAGCAAACTGGGGTCCCATGTCCAACAATCACCAGTGCTGAGAAGATAGATGTTTTTGCACTAAACATTGAGTCTCTTTCCAAGTTAGTTTTCTCTCATTTCTGTTGGATCATCACTGAAAATAAGCTAGGTTCTGAAGTGAAGAATGTGAGGTCTTTTCACTATTATTTGACTTCAGGGTGTTAGATTTTTGAAAGAACTTCTTCATGCCTTTTCATACTTCCCTTTCTGCATCCCAGAGAAAAGCTCTGGTTTGTGGCTTTATAGGATTTCCAGAACCCTCATTGTATTTCCAGTTAATTTTATGTCATTTTTGTTATTCCTCACCTGTTACTTCTGTGACTTGTCCATCATACAGCAGCTGTGGAGAAATCCCCAGTCAGCCACGGAGTCTCTAGGTGACCCCATCCAAGCGTTCTCCTCTATGAAATGGGACCTGACATTGGTGCTCGAGACCGAGAGGGGCCCTGTGTAAGGCCCTGTCTGCGTCCTCTCCTGCATGCTGCTCTCTGCGCTGAGACCACATAATGTGAGAGCGATGGAAACAGACTCAGTAGCAAACCTGCTGGGATTTGAATTCTGGCTCCCCTGCATTCTAGTTCTCTGACCTTGAGCAAGTTGCTAAGCTTTCCCCATTGAACTACTTTGGCCTCTATCAAAAATCGATTGACCCTGTGTGTATGGGTCTCCTTGATTCTATATTATTCCACTGATGTATATGTCTATCCTTATGCCAACACCACACTGTTTTAATTACTGCCACGTTACCAATCTTCAGATTAGGTCATGTGAATCCTCCAACTTTGTGTTTTGGTTTTTTTTTTTAATAGTTTGGCTGTTGTAAGTAAGTTGCATTTATATATACATAATAGAATCAGTTTCTCAACTTCTAAAAATAAAAGCCTTCTGGGATTTTGAATGGGGTTATGTTGAATCTATAAATCAGCTTGGGGAGTACTAACATCTAAACAGTCCTTGAAACTTCCAGTCCATGATTATGGTACAGTTTTCATTAATTTAGATCTTTTTTAGTTTCTGTTTACAAGATGTGCACATAGTTTGATCTGTTATTACGGGCATTGTTTTCTTCATTGAATTTTCCTATTGCTAGTCTCTACAAATACAGTTGATTACTTGACTTTGTATCCTGTAACCTTGCTAAATTCACTTATTCTCGTAGTGTTCTTGCTTCTCTTTTAGATTTTCCACATACATAATCATATCACCTCTGAATAAAGACAGTTTTACTACCTTTTTCCCATTGCCTTCCGGCACTGACTAGGGCCTTGGAACAGTGTTGGATGTGAGCATGGCCTTGTTCCAGATGTAGCTCCAGGTTTTCTGTAGATCAAGCTGAGGAAGTTCTCCTTTCTTCCTATTTGCTGAAAGTTGTTATCATGAGTGGGTGTTGAATTTGGTTAAATGCTCTTCCTGCATCTGTTGAGGTGATTATTTGCTGTTTTTCACTATATGTAAACTCTGCATTCCTATGAAACTTGGGGTTTTCTTTTTTTTAAGATTTTTATTTGCATTAAAGATTTTTGTGTTCCAGAGGAATATTTGTCTATAGAGTTTCATTAATGTTTAAATATGGGTTTGATATCAGGGAAATGCTGGCCTTCTAAAGTGAACTGGGAAGTGTTCCTTTCTGTTTTTTTAAGGATTTTATGTGGGATTGTTCATTGATTGAATCTTTAAATCCTAATGAGGGCACATGAGCCTGGAGTTTTCTTAACCAGAAATTATTTAATTATAATTTCAGTATATTTTCAGATACAGAGCTATTCAGATTTTCTAAACCTTCAGGTCTAGATCCTTATAATTTGTGCCTTTCAAGTGATTTATCCATTTCATCTTAGTTGTCAAACGTATTGGCATAAAAAATCATTGATATTCCCTCATTCTTTTGATGTTTATAGGATCTGATGAAGCCTTCTCTCTTTTATTCCTAATACGGGTAATTTGTGTCTTTTATCTTTTTTCCTTATCTAACTAGAAATATATCAATTGTGTTGATCTCTTTAAAACCCAGCTTTTGGTTTTGTTGACTTTTTTTCTTTTTGTCTTATTGATTTCTGCTTTTTATTATCTCCTCTTCTTTTGGTTTAACCTGCTCTTTTTCTAACTTCTTAAAGAGGAAACTTAGTCATTGATTTGGACCTTTAGTCTTTTTAAAAATAAGTATAAAAAGTTAGAAGTCTCCCTGAAGCACTATTTCAGCTACATCTCACATTCTGATGTGTTGCGTTTTTATTTCATTCAATTCTTGTGATTTCTTTGATCTCTGAGTTAATTACTAGTGTGTTGTTTAATTTCTTAACCATTAGGGATTTATCCCGGAAGTTTTTCTGTTTGTTGATTTCTGATTTAATTCATTTGTCATCAGGGTACATACTTT